GGTAGGGCACAGGTCTGCTGTTGCCTAGGCTGGTCTTGAACTCCTGGCCTCAAGTGATCCTTACCCCTCGGGTCCCAAAATGCCGGGCATTACAAATGTGGAGGACCACCACACACTGGCCGACACTGTGTATTTATTTGGTAAGATTGAGTATGCTCTTTCATATATTATTTCATATATTTCTTTTTAGTTTATATATCATCAGGGGACATGTGTATTCCTAAATCTTCCTAAAGTATTCCCTGAGAACCACACCACTAAAGGACCACCATTACTTTATCTGTATAAGTAAAAATGTGCAAGTATTGTATAAGGTCCTAATTAACACAAGAAAATCCAATATTTTATTCCATTGAATTCCTTTTACACTAAATTGTAAAAATAGAAGATGACACAGAGTCAGCTCTACTTTGAAGTTTTCAAACTAAATTTGTTGTTTCTATAAAGTATATTTGAACTGTATTTGCTGTTTTCTGATCCCAAATCATCTACCAGGTTTTACTGTTTTTGTGTATAGAAAATCCAACAGTATTGAAGGTAATTGAACAAAGTTAAATCCACAGTTATCCACTCAGTAATACTGCTCCTACTAATCATTGGGAAGTAAAATGAAAGAAAGCATCAGTCTTACTTTTCCACCTTCTTAGCTAGCGTGTTTATCTTCAGATTTCTAAGACTATCATAAAACATCAAATATGAAAATTAATGGGATGGCATGTGTAGTGGCTCATGCCTGTAATCCCTGAACTTTGAGAGTTGAGGTGGAGGTATTGATATCACTTGAGGTCAGGAGTTCGAGACCAGCCTGGCCAACATGGTGAAACCCCATCTCTACTAAAAATACAAAAATTAGCCAGGCCTGGTGGCCCCTGCCTGTAATCCCACTTACTTGGGAAACTGAGGCAGGAGAATCACTTGAATCTGGGAGGCAGAGGCTGCAGTAAGCTGAGACTACATCACTGCACCCCAGCCTGGGTGACACAGCAAGACTCCATCTCAAAAATAATAATAATAATAATGATAAATTAATGATTATACCAACCCCTTAAAAATTTTAATGAATATCACTTAGTCCTTCATAAGTGAAAAATAGATTAGTCATCAGATTTCAAATGCAGGTTTCACTATCTGAAAAACAACAAAACTAAGAAACTAGAAAATACAAATAATCCTTCTCAGATAAATATCATCATTAGATTTTAAAAGGAAAGTATAAAATAAAGCACCACTATATGAAACCTTAGTGTTTTCTCTTCAATATACTAAATCTTCATTTTAGGCTAGCAATCTTTATCATTCCTACTTTCCACAAGATAATTTTTACATGTAATTCCTTGGATTCAAAACTCTTTATACCACATGCAGTGTAGATCAACTGGCTACTTAACAAAATTTGCAGTTGCTGGATGGCCCATAATCAGAGTGGCAACTTCAAACTGCCAGTCACCTTCCAATGGGTAAGGTCTAGGATTTGTGTTGACTACACATTGTCGAGACCCAGGTTTAGGGCATATGGAATGTGAGTGGTGGACTGGTTTGTGGGTTTGAGGGTCTGTGTGGGAGACTACAAATTCTTCTTTGTGCAAAGTGTAGGAGTGCAACACTGAACATGGACTTAGTCTATGTCTGGCCTCCCCACTCCCTCTTCAGCTGAAGCTGGAGAGAATGGGCATTTTGTAAATGTTATGGCATATGCCAATATAATATAATGACATTAAATGAAAACAATAACAAATAAAACATGTTGTGGGCTGTGGGTACATCTGAGTTCTACTATAACCTGGCTGCTGACTTTCTCTGAGACTTTGAACAATTCATGTTGCAGGAAGTCAGGGACCCCGAATGGAGGAACCAGCTGGAGCCGTGGCAGGGGAACATAAATTATTAAGATTTCATTTTAATGTGGACATTTATCAGTTCCCAAATTAATACTTTTATGATTTCTTATGCCTGTCTTACTTTAATTTCTTAATCCTGTTATCTTCATAAGCTGAGGATGTACGTCACCTCAGGACCACTATAATTGTGTTAACTGTACAAATTGATTGTAAAACGTGTGTTCGAAAAATATGAAATCAGTGCACCTTGAAAAAGAACAGAATAACAGTGATTTTCAGGGAACAAGGGAAGACAACCATAAGGTCTGACTGCCTGCAGGGTCAGGCAAAATAGAGCCGTATTTTTCTTCTTGCAGAGAGCCTATAAACAGACGTGCAAGTAGGGAAGATATCGCTAAATTCTTTTCCTAGCAAGGAATATTAATAATTAATACCCTGGGGAAGGAATGCATTCCTAGTGGGAGGTCTATAAACGGCCAATCTGGGAGTGTCTGTCTTATGAGGTTGAGATAAGGACTGAAATATGCCCTGGTCTCCTGCAGTACCCTCATGCTTACTAGGATTGGAAAACTCCACTCTGGCAAATTTGGGGTCAGACCAGTTCTCTGCTCTCGAATCCTGTTTTCTGCTGTTTAAGATGTTTATCAAGACAATGCATGCACCACCGAACATAGACCCTTATCAGTAATTCTGCTTTTGCCCATTGCTTTGTGATCTTTGTTCTCCTTTTTGCCCTTTGAAGCATGTGATCTTTGTGACCTACTCCCTGTTCTTACACACCCTCCCCTTTTGAAATCCTTAACAAAATTTGCTGGCTTTGAGGCTCAGGTGGGCATTACAGTGCTACCGATATGTGATGTCACCCCCAGAGGCCCAGCTGTCAAATTCCTCTCTTTGTACTCTCCCTCTTTATTTCTCAGCCGGCCGACACTTATGGAAAATAGAAAGAACCTACATTGAAATATTGGGGGTGAGTTCCCCCAATAAATTCACTTATCCTGTGCCTCAGTTTCATTTAAAATGAAGAAAATAAGGGCTGGGCACAATAGCCTATGCCTCTAATTCCAGCACTTTGAGAGGCTGAGGCAGGAGGACTGCTTGAGGCCAGTAGCCCGAGATCAGCCTGGGCAACATAGCAAGGCCCTATCTCTACAAGAGTTTTTATATTTTTTGTTTGTTTGTTTGTTTGATTAGCCATATGAGGTAATACATGCCTATGGTCCTAGCTACTTGGGGACCTGAGGCAGGAGGATCACTTGAGCTTAAGTTATAGTGAGCTATTATTGTGCCACTGCATTCCAGCCCGGGCCACAGAGCAAGACTTTCTCTTGATCAATCAATCAAATAAGACAGTCCTGCCTCATCTCACTGACTATTGTAATAGAAGTGAGATAATATATGAATAAAGCACTTAAAGCCTTAAAGTTATAAAGAGTTTTTTTTAATGCGAAAAAACTATTATAAATATTTATAGTGTTCTGGTACTACACTGTTAATGGACACAAATGATCCAAGGTTCATATAGTTTCTTACAGATGAAACACTCATAGCAGTTTGCTCACTAATAAGAATAAAACAGTCTGATCCAAGTAGAACAGTTTTAGTTTTTATTAAATGCCCAGAACACTGTAAATATTTAGTAATTGGTAAAGGAAGGTAAGTATATTTTAACTCTTAATTCCAAATAAAGACAATGCAATAAATTTAAAATGTAGATACGTTTGTAAAGAGAATATTTCACAAAACTATAGATACTAACCTATTTTTTATGAATATGGCAGGATAAAACTAGTATTTCTCTCTTCCATTTGAAAAATATTCCAAAAGCAACACAAGGAATGAAAAACAGTAACCCCATTTTGGGCAAAACTAGGAGACAAACCACAAAACGAGTAGAAAGGCTGCCAAAAGCAATGGAGATGAAGTAGGAATATATGGTGTAGGCAGCATAGAGAGAACGCTCCAGTTGCAAATGGCAGAAAAAACAAAGTCTACTTCTTGAAGTTGATGGGTACACTTTAAGGTATAAACTCCTTGTTTATATCAAAGTGCACAGGTTGACAGCTAGAGCTTTTCTATATGTGGTTTGGTTCCAAGAAGCAGAAAGAACAATGTTAAGTAAGGAATCACACTAACTATATTTGCAGAGAGAAGTCCATCTCTGTGGCTATATGAGACAAAAGACTTTGTATAATGAAATTCCCCAAAGTTGTCTATCTCCATTGGCTGAGACAAAATAAAAGATAAATAGAATTTTAAAACTCTACAGTCAAAACAGAACTTTCACAAGAAAACTGTTGATATGGAGCTGATGAAAATCATGATGAATACTCCACCACTAATTAATGAAGTTATGCAATCAACTCTAATTTGAAATTTTTAAAAATATATAATTATAAAATTGTGTTGACTAGAACAATAATGAAGAAACTTGTATAATCAATCACTTACCTCTGATTCATATTTTATTTTTCCTTCATCTAAAATACGTGCATACTCTTCCTTCTGGTGTTCAAATTCTGACTTGAGAAATGTATGTTCATAGCGAAGCTTATTATATGCAGCTCTATACTTTTCCACCTCCTAAATTAAAGGGAGAATGCAATTTATCATAGATTTATAAACAAAATTTGTACTCACTCCAATAATCACTTTTACAAATATAATTTTAAATTACATTATAATGACAGCCACTCTAAAAGTAAAAAATAAATTTAACAGAAATACAAATGAATTTGGAAAAGTCCTCATAACAAGTATCCTACATATAGAATTAGTACATTCCTGAAAAGATACCCAAAAAGTAAATTACCATTCAATTAATCTTATTTCTTCACTGGTTCTCATTATAATAAAAGTGTATAGTATGAGGAAAGTGTTAATCTCTGGACTTAAACAACATGTAAGAATGCAGCACACCTTTCAAAAGATAGATTTTTTAAATGTATAATTTAGTATAAGTAAAACAAATTCAAGAGAGATAAAAGGTTATTGTAATATTTAGTACAGCATCTTAACATCTAATTAAATATTACAATGATAGTTCAACACACCAACCTGAAGAATACATGCAGCATCATCTCTACTGACTGACCAGGAACACATGCAATTCCTTGGAGTGCTCTCATCCTGCTTCCTAACACTACTCTATGAAAGCTGCTGGCATTCTGAATACCCAACGAGAAACTCAGGCAACAGAGCAGAAAGATACAGGAGACGCTAACAAGAAATTCGATTGAACAAAGAAAGCATGTCTCCTAAAACACCCAGCTCACCAAAAATCTTTAGTTCAAAGAATTCTAAGCCAGTTTATAAACCAAGAAAATGGGTTTCATGATTTTACTACAGATACACTTTGCTTTGATTTAAAAAAAAAAAAAAAAAAAAAAAAAGCTTGTATTGAACTTAATCACTTATCTTGGGTCAGATTTTGTTTATTTACAAAAATTAAATCTACTCCCCAACCATAATGGCTTGCCACTAGGTGTGTATTAGAAACATCGTATTATCAAGCCAGTAAGCCATTATAAAAGACGATTCTACACTGTTTTGGGTAATGACCACATCACTAGACTACAGCTCTCCAAAGGGGCCCATTTTGAAGGAGACAATAATCATTTGTATGTATAAGGCCAGCTATATTTGTTAAATAAGGTAACATATATAAAATGTCTAGCAAGTATCTAATATACTTATTATCTGCAGTCTTATCCTGTCCCCTTTATTAAGCATTTAATCATATTACACCAACACTTCACCAAAGGAGACTAGTCTCAACCTGAAGTAAAACTGTAACAGATTTTTACTTTTATGAAGTGGCATGAAACTCATTCTCTCTTTCAACAAATATTAATTGAGCACCTACTGTATACCAAAATCTGTTCTAGGAACTTGGAATATAACAATGAACAAAACAGGTAAAGGTTCCTCCTCTCATGCAACTTCCATTCTAGAGGTGGTAAAACAGAAAATAAACACAATAAATAAGTAAATTATATAGCATAGTAGAAGGTATGCATACCAGAAAGAAAATGAAAAACAGAGCAAGGTAAGGAGGTCTAAAGGTCTAAGCAGGAATGGGAAAGGCAGGTTGCAATATTAAATAGGTAGACGGGAGCAGTCAAAGTAGGCCCCACTGAGAAAGTGACATTTTAGCAAAGACTTACAAGAGATGAAGTTAGCCACGACATATCTGGAGGGAGAGTATTCAAGGCAGAAGAGATGTGCCAATTTGGCTGGGCATGGTGGCTCACGCCTGTAATCCCAACACTTTGGGAGACCAAGGCTGGTGGATCACTTGAGATCAGGAGTTCGAAACTAGCCTGGCCAATATGGTGAAACCCCGTTTCTACTAAAAATTCAAAAATTAGCCAGGCACGGTGGCAAGTGGCTGTAATCCCAGCTATTTGGGAGGCTGAAGCAAGAGAATCGCTTGAACCTGAGAGGTGGAGGTTGAAGTGAGTCGAGATCACACCACTGCACTCCAGCTGGGCAACAGAGCCAGACTCTATCTCAAAAAAAGATAGTTTTTTTTAATTAAAACTAAAAATAAAATTAAAGAAATGCACCAATTCTGGAGTGTCAAAGAAACATCAGTAGGCCAATGTGGAAAAAGGAAAGGAGATAAGAGAGGTAATGGGAGTCCAATCCTGTGAAGCCTTAGAGGCCACTGTAATGACTGAGTAAAAGGGGGAACTATTGCAGGGTTTTGGAATAGGGGAATGATGCTTTTCATCGAGACTTTTATCCCATGAGGATAAATGCACAGTAAACAACGTAAGTTACTTACTTCATCTAGATTCCGAAAACGTTCTCTCATTGGAGTTTCTAATTCTTGCTGTATTTGGGCTCTTAGCAATTCCAATTTTTGTGGAGTTAATATCTAATATGTAGAGAAATGCAAACAACATAAAATCACATTAAAATCAAAAATTCTCCATATTTCAAAGACTCTCTCCTAATTATGAAAATGGAATTCATGAAAGTTTTCACAATATAGTTATTTTTATAGTCATCACTATACAAACACAATCATCATTTGAAATAATACTTTAAGAATCTCAATTTCAGGCTCTTGGAGATGTCAAAAATTCCATTAACATGAAGTAAAGACAGTTACTGATTATTATTGCTATTGTTAGGAATAACTATGTTGGTAGCTAAGACTATCATGTTGTATACAATGGCTAATAGTCTAGTTATTTTCCAAAGCAGGCAAAATAAAGGTGTAACAATTTGTTATACCAAAGAGAACCTTTCAGACTTATTTTCAATTAGAAAAGGCTCATTTGTACTCTCACACTGTACCTAATTTAGGCTTCTCCTTGTCACACTCTTTTATAGAACTCATATTTTAATAAGCAATTAAATATTTATGTAAGCCTCATATGGGAAGACACAGTCTTTATTCACCATTGTATTCCCAATACCTCCCACGAATGTCTGGCACATAGGAACCACTCAACTACACTATTTCACGAATGAATGAGGAACAAATGCCAGCTGTAAAAAAAAAAAAAAAAAAAAAAAAGTCTAGAGTTTGTATTTATATTAATTTCTACAAAAATGATAATGTTCAGTTTCTTTTTTTATGAACAGTCCAAATACTATGTTCAAAATATTACATTCTACTGAATGGAGAGCATACTATATATAAAGCATTGTATAATGCACTGTAACCTACATACTATCCTGTTCTAAGCACCTTATATGCATTCATTGATTTAATTCCTAGAACAATCCCACAGTATAGCTACACTGAGGCATACAAGGTATCTAAATAACTTTATAAAGATCACAAAAACTCATGTGAAGCACATATCTCCCCATAAAAACTTCAAACTCTAGTGTTAAAAATAACTCATACACACAAATAACTATAAAAGTAGGCAATACAGCCTTACCAGACAGGTAAAAAAGAGAAAACACATTTAGGATAGAAGGCATGATGCATCAAAGGAATGGGAAAACTAAAGCTTATACAGAACCCTTATATAGAAAGCTTACAGAACCCAAACTCAAGCCAGGTAACATTTTAATTTGCCTGGGTGTCAGAGACTGTATGGGAGAAAAGCAATTCTCAAAGGTGAGTTAAAGCCATTTTGAATGGGACCACATTAAGTACTACAGAAAATTTAAAATTGTGGGTCCCTATATTCACACTGGTAGAAATCTCTAAACACTGTAACATTTCCAAATGTCACCTTGGAGGGCTGTACCCTGGCTGGAAACAAAAGGAAAAGAGGTTGCAGCCAAAGAGTGAAAGGTTCCTGAATACCAGGTTTAGACTCTTATTATTTATTTGGTATTCAATAGTATTTACTTTAAAAATTTATTTTATTTAAAATGAATATATATAATTACATAAATAATTCAAACAAAAGCTTAAAAGGTCTTCTCACTTCAGTAATCCAATTTTCTTCTATTGAAGCAATCATTGTTAATAACTTCTTATGTACCCTTCCTAAAACAATCTCCAGATACACAAGTATACATATCACTTTTGATTTCTATACAAAAAGGATATTGTACATATATTTTTCTGTACCTTATTTATTGAAGGTTTTTAAGCTTAAGAGTGACACTACCATATCCATATTTTACAAAGAAGCAAGATGAATCAAAAGCTTTAGTGGGAGAGTAGCTGTAGCTGTGGGAAGAAGAGGCAGTAAATGGAGCCAAAGAAACCAGATAGAAAACTCATGTCATAATCTGGTTTACGGTATCAAGTATCAAGTCTGGGTGACAACATCAAGAGTCCAAACTAAGACGAGGTAGCAATTAAAAGGAAGAGATTAATAGGTAAAGGTTACATGGCTCCTGTTTCAAATGATCTAACTTCAAAACTAAGCAAGCAAAACCACGGGAAAACTAAGAAAACCTGAACAAAGATGGGATATTAAAAGGTATTAATGAATAAGTATTTTAAATATGGTAAAGGTATTGTGGTTATGCTTTTAAGAGAGACTGCACTGGTTTGTTATAGAAATATATACTCAATTATTTGTTGAAACAATATGATTTGATTCAAAATAATCCAGAGACATTGAGGAAGAAAGTGGGAGTGGGTGGAACAAAGTAGTAGATAAAACAAGCCTGGCTCAGAGAGAATTATTATTAATACTAGATGATGAGTACATGGGAATGCATTACATGTTTGAGATTTCCAAAACTGAAAGTTAACTGAAAGTAAAAAGCCTTTCAGCCAAGGTAGAGTAAGAGCCCAGATTCACTCTCTTGCCTGAAACAAACAAAAGAACAGACAAAAATTAAACAGTTTGCAAGACACTAGACATAAGAAAGCAAAAGGCAGATCCCTGAGAGGCACAAAACATAGAAGATGAGCTTTGAGAGTTTTCAGGACCTGGCACAGGAAAGGATAGCCATGCAGTTATGATGGACTCCCTGAGTTGAGGAGATGAAACTGAGCATCTAGGGACACTGGGGTGGTTAGATTCCTAAGACAGGGTAGCAGAGAAAAGAGGGCACAGAAGGATAACTATGAAGACCTACAAAAAGTCTTGACTCATTCAGTAGAGTACTGATTAGCACATGTGTGCAAGGAAACTACCTAAGGCTAGGCAAAGAAACACCTGAAAGGAGTAGAAGGATGAATACACAGAGCTCACAAAGACCTAAGAATAGTTTCTGTTCCCCCAAATCAGATTAAAATCCTTCATTTCATAAGGAAATTGTTATAGTAGTCAGAAGAATCTTGTGTCAGTGGTGGGAAATAATTAGCACTACACTAAATACTACTCTGGCTCCCACTTAAAACTTAAAAGCAAGACCTAGAAAGATAAAACTGTTTCCAAATAATTCAACTGTGTCCTAAAATAAAGTTCAAGAACATGTATCAGAATATAAAAATATTGGGAGGTGGAGACTGCAGGGAGCTGAAATCACTCCATTGCACTCCAGCCTGGGGAACAAGAGTGAAACTCCGTCTCAAAAACAAAACAAAAACAACAACAAAACAACAAAACAACTCCAGCATTTTAAAAAGAAAGTTCACAATATCTAACATCCAATAAAAATTTACCAGGCATGCAGAGAAGCATAACAGACAGAGAGAGAGAGAGAGAGAGAGAGAGAGAGAGAGTAAAAGGCGGGGGTTAGATATTGCAGAAGAAAAAAAATCAATGAAAATCAATGAATCTGAAAACATGGCAAGAGAAACTAACCAAATGAAGCACAGAGACAAAAAATACTAAAAATAAATTAATAAACAAGATCAGCAAGCTATGGGAGAACTTTAAGTGGTCTAATATTAGAATGTAATTAAGAGTCTCCAAACGAGATGAAAGAGGAGACAGAAAAATATTTTTAGAAGTAATTCTCCAAAATTTTCAGTTTGATAAAAACTGTAAACTCATAGACCTATGGAATTCAATAAACCCAAGCACTACAGATACAAAGAAAACTGCAAAGTATGTCAATCAAATTGCTTAAAACCAGCAATAAAGAGAAGAGCAGCCAAAAACCAGAACAAGGTGCATTACAAAGAACAAAGATAACCTGTGCTCACATACCCTGTAGAGTGATGCAGCTGGCACAATACCCACGCAGCTCCTAATATTATATGTTCAATTACATCACAGATGCCTCTTGGAAACCACAGTGCTTTAAATTCTGTAATGGTGTGCACCTCACGATTGGCCTGAGCAATCTAACACATACAACAGTTTAGGGGTCTTCTGATCTGAGGTCTCTGACAAAGGATCTCTAAACTTTTTCTTAACTCCTAGGAATCTTACTAAAACACAAATACCCACATAATAAACCCTCTCTCCTCTGTCTCTCCCATCTCTCCTCTCTTATCCCTATATCTCCAAAGCACACATAAACCAAAGTCACCTGACTGAATTAGAGGATTTCTCCCATCCCATTTTAGGAAAAAATATTCTGTCTTAGACTACCTTTTTTTTTTTTTTGAGAAAGAAAAGTCTCGCTCTGTCGCCTGGCTGGGTGTAGTGGCACGATCTTGGCTCACTGCAAAACTCTGCCTCCAGGTTCAAGCAATTCTCATGCCTCACCCTCCTGAGTAGCTGGGCGAGGACAGGCATCACCACCACACCAGCTAATATTTGTATTTTAATGGAGACAGAGTTTCACCATGTTGGCCAGCCTGGTCTCGAACTCCTGATTCAGGTGATCCACACACCTCAGCCTCCCAAAGATCTGGGATCACAGCCATGAGCACACACCCAGCCAGTG